CTCCTCCCTGCCAAGGAGAAGCCCGTCTTGTCTGGGTCCTGAAGGGAGGTCTGCCCACTGTCCTCCCATGAGCTCCCTGGGGGCCTGGCTCCCCGCTCCAGCCACAGGCTGGGGGGCAGGGCATTCCTGCCGAAGGCACCCAGAGGCCGACCTTCCCTGTGGGCAGGAAAGCAGACTGAAAGCTCCCACCGCAATTGTCCCTCCTTCCCTTCCTCCTGCTCCGGGGGCTTGACCACAAGGCCCTCAGGAGGCTTGGCCATGCAGGGTCCCAGAACAGGGAGTGGTTCTTCTAAAGACTCCCTGGCTGATAGCGTTGCTGTTTACTAGCTGTGGAAACACATCTCCATCCTGCATTTGGTCCCAACAAAGCCTTTTTGTGATTCAGAAGTTAGGGTGCATGTAGGAGGAATATTTGTAAGTAGGTTCTAGAAAGTGCAGAGAATGCTGTTGAGACATCAGAAAGGCCAGTCTCTCTACCCCTTCTTCTGCTGAGCTGCTTCTAGCCCTTTGCTTCCTGGCTGCTGGGCAGTTCTGTCCTTCCCCATCCCTGGCTTAGATGATACCCCACTGCTCCCTGCCCCTCCGTAGCCTGCCCTGCTTAAGGTTCTCCTACCCCAACTCCTTTGGCCTGCTCTAATCTTACCTCCATTGAACCTTGTCTTCAGATCTTACAGAGCAGCTCATATCTTCTTAGCAAGACTGTAAATTATTTGAGAACAAGGCCTCTTTCATATTCCTACCCTAACAAGGGGGACGGCATTTTCTGAAGTAAGGATGAAGAAATATGGATCGAAGGGCACAAGAGTGCTGATGGAGACAGAGTGTCTACAATCAGGGCTGCCTGGCAAACCCCAGGCCCCCAGGAGCTCAGTTTCTGTCTGTTGCCCACTGACGCCATGGTCAGCTGAGCCAGTCTTAAGGGCTCAGGTGACTGAGGTGCCCGCAGCCTGCCTTCCCCCTTTGAGTTGTGAATTCCCTCATCTTCTGTCCCAGCCCCGAGAAAGCCACCCCAGCCAGCCTGCCACAGAAGCTGGTTCTGGACAGCAGCTGTGCGTAGTCGCTAAGAGTCACAGAGATCTGAGTTCAAATTCTGATCCTCCCACTTTCCAGCTGGGTGACCTTGGGCAAGTTGCTTAATCTCTCTGAGCCTCAGATATCTCACCTATGAAAAGGGAATCGTTCCTGTCCTGGGAGACTGTATGCAAAGCCCTCAGCACAGCAAAGCCTGGCACGCAGTACATGTTCAGAGAATAGTAGCTCGCCCCGCCAACTCAACACTCTCCCAGCCATCCACTCTCTTCTTCTGTTTTGTCTCCCCTTGGACAGAGAGGGTCCTGACCTTTGCTTGTTTCTCTGCTATACACCCAGTGGCCATCCTAGACCAACATGGGATGCTGAACCCTAACCTGGGGGCCTTGGCAAACTACCCTGAACTTGGCTGCGGCACGGCAGCGAAGAGACCAGACCCACTGTTCTGTTCTGCCCTGTGGGTGTGTGTCGAGGCTGCCATGCTTGCACGCACTGCCATGCGAAGCAATTCCTGTTCCCCCTGAGCTGCTCACTGGCCTCACCTCTGGCGTTTGGGAGGCAGAGCTGACAGAGCCAGGCCTTGGGTGCACAGCCAGGCGGGAGCCTGTCAGGGAGCTGCCTGTGTGTGTGTGCCAGAGGCCTTGGGCCGGGGCCTCTCAGGTGGCCGCATTTCCTAGCTGTGGCTCCAGCACCAGCTTGGTGCTGACAGGGGTACGTGCAGATCAGCGTGCCAGGGCCCCAGAGGCAGACCAGACCAGGGCACTCGGAATGGCCGGGCCAGTCCCACCTTTATTTTCAATGGGGGAACCAGGGAGTAAAATAGAACTGCTTTACTTTTATTATCCTTCTTTAGTATAAGAAAAGACCAGACTATCTCATTGCTGAATCCTGAACCTCAAAACTGTTCATCTACTCTTGTACCTTAGGCCAACTTTTTGGAGTCATTTTCTTTCCTCCTTTCTGCAGATCTTTAGTGGGGTCTGTGTAACTATTTCAGTTGGTTTGTTTTTTTTTATATGATAATGCCTTTATTTCATCGTGGTTCTCTCTCTTTTTTTTCAAGATTTTTTTAATTTATTTTTCGAGAGAGGAGAAGGAAGGGAGAAAAAGAGGGAGAGAAACATCCATGTGAGATAGAAACAGATTGGTTGCATGTGCCTCAACGGGACCAAACCCACATCCCAGGCATGGGCACTGACCCGGGATCGAAGTGGCGACCTTTCTCTTTGTGGGACAACGCCCAACCAACTGAGCCATGCCGGTCAGGGCTCATCATGGTTTTTAAAAAATGGTGTGCTGGGTCCAGGATTCTGGATTGACAATTTTTTTGGGTTTTTTAAAAAGAATCTTGGTGCTTTGATGGTGTCACTTCATTGTCTCCTCATGTTACTGTTGAAAACCTATTCTCAACCCAATTGTCATTCCATGGTGAGTGATCTGTCTTCTCTCTTGCTGCTTGTAAGATTTTTTCTGACCGAGGTCCTGGAGCTACTGGCCACTATCTGTCCCCAGAAATGGAATAGTTGTGCACAGTGAAACGTCAAGAGGGAGACGAGGCCAGAGGAGGGGGTGGATGGGAAGGCTGAGTGGTGCTCATGGCACAGAGGGCAGCCCGTTACTGGGAGTGTGTGAGCACAGGCTGTAAGAAATTCCCTGTCATGTGGGGGGCTTGCCTCAGTTATCTTGATTGACGATGACCCTGGAGCTCTTTTAGTGGCTTCTGCCTTGCTCCCCCCTGCACCTGGCCTCTGCCCCTCTCCTTCAGAGGGTCCATGACCTTCTCGCTCCGGCTCCTCCAGGGAGCCCTTCCTGATCCCTGCAGGCCACACACCGCCCCCTTCTGTTCCTCCAGCTCCTGGAGTATGGCACAGATGCCGCAGAGCCTGGTACACTAGCCTCCAGAAGCCTTTGGTCTGCAGGTTATTTCAGACAGCTGAGTGGTCACTGCAGATGGCACGTCCTTTTCTGCTTGCTCAGGATTTACATTTAGTCCAGGTACCTAGGAGCGGGAGGTGGGGTCAGGAGGCCCCACTCAACCTGCCCCCAGGGTTGGACACTCAGGCTCTGATCCTCCCTCCTGCTCAGGCTGCTCAGGACGGTGCAGCTGCCCCCTCCTCAGTCCCCTGGTGAGGACCTCCCAGTGTCCCGGGGTGGAGATTGAAGCCACTGGAGCAGGGTCACTGGAGGGTAAATTTGGCCTGCTGAGCGTGGGGACAGAAGTGAATAACGTGATAGCATTCTGACAGCAGCTTGCCTGGTCCATTTTTGAGAGTTGAAGACAGGAAGGCAGTGGCCCTGGGGTACTTCCAAACACCAGAGTCCCTGCCGGTGTGCCCCCCAAGGGCTCCCAACAGCCACTCTCTTCCCTTGTCCCTGGGCGACTGGTGGGCTTACATGTGTACGTGTGGGGCACGGATGTGGCTATGGAGAGTGTGTGCTGCCCACGACCCCATCCTCGGTCTGCATGCCTACAGGGCCTGTCAGGGAGCTCCGAGACGCCGACCCTGCCCCCTGTCCCAGTGTGGAAGGGGCTGAGATGTTGGGGTTATTTAAGAGTCATTCTATTGCAGATCAGTGATGATTTCTGCAGATCAGCACAGAATCCTTAGGTTGGAACTCTGTTAGGGAGAAAAATGTGCATGTGTCTGACTGGACCCCACACTCTCTACCCGGCAGTTTTAGGGTGAGTCAGGAGCATGTGGGATGAGAAGGACACCCTGACTTTATGCGTCTGAGCACTTTGCTTCCATGATGCCTTTCCTCTTTCCTGGGGAGAAGAGGAGGGTGGAAGGAAGCACCGCCTCCTGTTGGACTTCTCATCATTCCCTGTGACGGGGTTTTGTGGGGACCTGCTGTCCCACAGTGTCAGTGGTCTTTGATCTCACTCGGGTCCAGACACAGGTGCCAGGCAGACCCTGGTGGAAGCCTCTTGCTCGCAGCTCTCAAGCCCACGCACTCGCACTCGTGAGTCGGGGCAGCTGCCAGCTCTGGGCCCTGGGGGAGTGGGCGGGGGCTGCGCGCTGCCCGCAGCGTTCGCTGCTGCAGCCCTGCGCCCACAGCCTGGCTCTGCCCTTGGCTGGCCCAGCAGGGGTGTGCTGGCTCAGGGGCAGGCCTCCCGTCCCCCTGCTGGCCCTGCAGTCCCTGAGGGAGTCTCGCATGGAGGTTGGCCTCACCGGACCTTTCCACTGGTGGACAGCAGTCCCTTTGTGGGTTGTAGGCTGGTTACTTTGCTCCTGAGCTGAAGTGCATGCAGAGACAGAAGTGGTGAGAAAGGGGAGTGGAAAGGACTATGTTTGTTAATCAACCGCAGAAGCACTGCCCCATAGGTCCCTGGGCTATGGGACAAGGGAGCTACCCAGTCCAGTCCTCCTCAAACTTGACTGTGCCTGAGGAGCAACAGGGATCAAGTTCAAATGCAGACTTTGACCTGGGAGGTGGGCCTGAGACTGCATTTCTAACACGTTTGCAGGGGATGCTGAAGCCGCTGGTCCAAAGTCCTGGAGTACTTCCCCCTGGCTTTTCCCTGGCGGAGAGCCTAGGCACTACAGGGCAGATAAATGATTCGGGTGGCACTCGGAAAGGTACACAAGAGTGTGAGAATGAGCGTCCTGACCCATGACATTCTAGAAGGTCTCCTTAGAGATGTGGAAAGATAAGAGTCTTCATCAGAGTGGCTGAGTTTGAGACTAGACCCCTCACACTTCGGCTTTGGGGAGAGAGCTCACAGTTTGAATTAGAATTTGAATCCCGGCTCTGTAGCCTGTTTGCTGCATGGTCTTGGGCAGGTCATTTTGTCTCTCTCTGCCCCAGTTCCTTCACCCATAAGTTAGAGAGAAGAATGCCTGCTCATAAGGCTGGTGAGGATAAAATGGGACGAGGTATGTCAGGTACCTGGCCCAGTACCTGTTACATATTAGGCCCTTAATGAACATTTATGTCTGTTAAAACTACATGCTTGTCTCTCCTTGCAGGTGAATGAAATTTACCATGACGAGTCCCTGGGGGCTCACATTAACATTGCCCTTGTCCGCTTGATCATGGTGGGCTACCGACAGGTAAGCCCCCCGCTCAGCAGGCAGGCTCTGGAGGGAGAAGGGGTGTGGGGCCAATGCATCGTCCCAGCTGTGGTGTGGGGTGGGGCAGGGGCAGCATCTAGGGAACATTTGATCTCCTGCATCAGAGACCCGAGACCATTAAAATTGAGGCTTCAGTGGCAGAGGCATTTGGGGATAGAAAACGGGGACTCTGGGTTCCCTCCAATCTGACACATGGACAATCCTATATCCTAACCGCTGAAGGTCCCCCTCTTTGATGGGGAAAGTGGGGCTTAGAGAGGGGCAGTGACCAAGTCCTGCTATGGTCGGGCCCGGGGGCCCTGGGTTCTGCCATCTTAGACCCGCTGCTTATTCTCCCCCAAATGGGGGTAACAACCAAATTTTCCCGCAGGGGCTATTGTGAAGATTAAATAAGACAGTGAATGCATTAGAGGAAATGCTCAGAACCACACCCACCTTGTGGGTTAGTTAAGGGATTAGGGATAACGTGTGTCCAGTTCTTAGCAGACAGGTGTGCCCGCACAGGGCTTGGCACTTCAATGTTCCCTAAAACAGGGGGCTATGTGCCAGCCGCGGCCAGAGGCAGTGACCTTGGGACAGCTAGTGACCTTGGGACGGGCACTGCAGTCGTGTGGGCTTCAGTATTCCCCACTGCCAGGGGGAAGGGAGCGCTGGACGCCCACTGAGGTCTGCGGGCTCCGACCGTCCACGCTGCTGTTGATACTCTCCGGCTCCCCGCAGTCCCTGAGCCTGATTGAGCGTGGGAACCCCTCTCGCAGCCTGGAGCAGGTGTGTCGCTGGGCACACTCCCAGCAGCGCCAGGACCCCGGCCATGCAGAGCACCACGACCACGTCATCTTCCTCACCCGGCAGGACTTCGGGCCCTCAGGTAGGCCAGGTACTGTGTTGGCCTTGGCCAGGTGTGTGCGGCTGCAGGGCAGAGGCCCAGGCTCGGGGCTCTGCTCGCTCTGGGGCCGGCTTCCCTGTCAGCAAAGGGGTCCATGGGACTTAGGAGACAGGACCTGGACGGACAGGTGGGCAAGCTTTGCATTGGTTTCCTGGGGACCAGGAGAAGTGAAGGGGTCTCTGCTCTGGTCTCTGCTGTCTTGGCTGAGCCTGCCGCAGGCTCTGGGCTTGCCATCCCAGGGCCCGGCTGTTGGAAGACCCTCTGTGATCTTCAAGGTGCGCTGCCCACACTGTATTCATCTGTCTTCACACACGTGGGCACCTAGGGAGGCACATGTGGAATTGGGAAAGGAAGTCCATGCTTTCCCCGCAGCTGCACGCCTCTCTAGCCCAGTGACCCAAGCTCACTTTATCTCCCTGGGTTCTTCCAACTGACAAATGGGGAAAATAATAGTATTTGCCTTCCTCCACTCCAGGGCTGCTAAAAGGGCCAAGGGGATATGTGAAATGTCTGTGACAGAGTGTGACTGTAAGCACTCTGCAAACACATGAGGCTTTGACTACCCGCAATTTTCCATATGGAGAAACCGAGGCACAGAGTGGTGAAAAGGCTTGCCCATGGCCCACTGTAGAGAGGAGGCAGACCTAAGACTCAGCCAGGATGTCTAGGCTCCAAGTTGAGGGCTTTCTAATTTTTTCTGGTTTGATGCTAGAAGTGAGTCAGCCGGCCCTGCCTCTGCCCAAAGTGTTCCTTGTCTGAATCCCTAAAGCCCCAAATGTGAGCTTGCACGCACACACACACAGATACACATACACACATGTATAAACACACACATACACATACACAGGCCTATGGGCAAACACAGACACATGTACACACATAGAAACATGCCCGCACATCCACGAACACATGCACGCATATACAGCCACATCAATGTATGTGCACACACAAACATACCACACATGCAGACACATGCACACAGGCACAGACATACACCTGTACATGTGTTTACCTGCCCCCGTGTGGAGACATCTCAGGCCTTCAGGACAATAGAGACCCCAGGACGCTCCTCCCCACTGCAGCCTATCATAATATCACTAGCCCCCAAACCATCTCAGATAAAAGAGCACTTCAGCAGTCCTGAACACAGGGCCTCGCTGTCTGGTCGGCAGCAGGCCCAGGCGGGGAGCACTGTCTCCCGTCGTCCCCTCCTCGAAGGCCTTCCCTAGTCAAGTCTGTCCCCTTAGCCCATAACTGGGCCCCAAGGGGAGGCTGAGAAGCAGGCCACTTACAGCACAGGCCTCGCCCACAATTGCAGCTCAGCAAATGCTGGTTGGCCCGGCGCTTGCTGGTCCGCACCAGCGCCGCTGCGCTCCCCACTGCTCCCGGAGGCCTGCGCAGCCTGCTGCACCTTTGCCTGTGTTCTCCCTGCCATGTGCCCTCTCCCCCATCTCTGGAGAATCGTCTCACCTGTCCTCCAGGCCCAGCTCTGTGCCACCTGAGTCATTCCGGATCCTCCTCAAGCTCTTCAGTTGAATCTGTCCCCTTCCTGCAGATCACCCCTGCACTGCCCCCTGTGCTCCTGGAACTGGCCCTGCTAAGCCACAGCTGCGCTAACCTCCAAGTCCAAGTCCAAGACTCCCCGCTATGCTGCCTGCTCCTTCATGTGCGGCTGTGTGGCAGGGAGGGGTGGCGGGTTTGGACCTGATTCCTTTGTTTTTCCCATAGAATCTAACACAGTGCCACTCCTATCCCCACATTTTTTTTTTTAAGTTTATTTGTTGACTGACTAACTGACCAGCTGGCTGGAGGGACATGGAAGTCGGGCATGAGCAGGTTTGGGCCCGTCTGGTTTAGAGCAGGGGCTGACAGGTGCAGAGAGGGTGCAGGCCAGGAGAGAAGCTGGGCGGCGGGTGTCCAACCCGCGGCCTGCGGGCTGCGTGCGGCCCAGGAAGGCCATGCATGCGGCCCGACACAAAAATCGTGAATTTACTTAAAATGTTACTTAGTATTATTACTAGGTTTTATACCATGTTTTATTATTTAGATATGTACATTTTCTATATTAGTGATCACAAACTTGGGACCTGCTTGATGATTTTAAAAGATTATTGCTGCTACATAATTAGGGCTATTACGTGAGGACTTTTTGGCTTATCTGCGGTGGTGGATATCACGAAAATTATGCACAGATCTTTTTTTTTTTTTTTTTTTTTGCTCATCAGTTTTTGTTAGTGTTTGTATATTTAATGTGTGGCCCAAGACAATTCTTCTCCTTCCAGTGTGGCCCAGAGAGTTCAAAAGGTTGCACACCCCTGCTGTTCAGCGTTAGAATATGGGGCAGCTTGGCCTAGGTTGCTCTGCTGCAGGTGGGACTTGGCAAGGATCCTCCTTACTCCAGGGACCCGCTAGCAGTGGCCAGGATGTCCCCGTGGGAATGCTGGGCACAGACCTTGGCGTGTCTTATCTCACTGTGCATTGCTTCTCTCTGCCCTCCCTCCCCCTCCCCACAGGGTATGCACCTGTCACTGGCATGTGCCACCCCCTGAGAAGCTGTGCCCTTAACCATGAGGATGGCTTCTCGTCAGCCTTCGTGGTGGCCCATGAAACTGGTCACGTGTAAGTGGCACGGAGGGGGTGGGCTGTGCCGTGAGCTCTGAGGAGGTCCGCGGGTGTGGGAGGCTTTGTCCAGTTTGGGTCCTAGTCCCAGTGTTTTGGGAGATGCCAGAGGAGCTGCTCTCCGTGAGGCTCTGTCTCGATGGGGAGAGAGCCCAGGGGCTCAGACAGCCGTTCTGGGCCTGCCTTGGGGGCCCCTGCTGTTCTCCCAAATCCCGGGGCGGCTGGAGACCAGATGTGGCCCTGTCTTTGGGCAGGTCAGCGGCAGTGTCCCATCAATAGGCAGTAGTCAGCGTTCTGGGTGGTCTCTATCCTTTTATCTTATCCACACCTTGAGGCCCTTCTGAGACCTGTTCCACACTGGAGTGCTGGCTTGAGCCCATAAACAAGCACGCTTAGACTCAGGGTACCCGCCCAGGCTGGTGGCTGGCTTGCCGGATCTTTGAGCCTGGATTTCTGTATAGAGCATACTCATTCATTCATTCACCCAGTATTTCCTGAGTACCTACCGTGTCCCAGGCCCAGTTCTAGGACTGGGGCCTCAGTGGAGAACAGGACAGACAAGAAGCTACATACTGGGAGAAAGCCAATAAACCTCCATCCAATGTGTCAGATGGTGACATGCATGTGCCACCCTCCTGCCTCCCAGCCTTGTCTGTCCATAGGGGCCGAGCTAAGGGACATGCTTTCCAGCCCACACACAGGGTGAGAGCTGTTCTCTGCAGCCTGAGGGACATGGGAGGGAGAGGGGTAGGCCAGCCCTAGAGGGGGGTCTGCCATCCACGGTCTCTGTGCCCCTCTCTGCATCATCCCTGCCAGCACAGGAGGCCCATGCGGATTTCCTCCCAGCTCTGCCCCTCACTGGGCGGGTGGCACCTACTCTTGGGCCTTGGTTTCCTCATCTGCAATGTGGAAGCGGACACCAGGGCCACCTCTGAGGTTCCTTCTCACCCTGGAAGCCGATGGTTTCACACGTTCTGGAGTCAGGAGTCTGTCTTCCTTTATGAAGCAGCGCGGGGCAGGGCAGGGAGTGCCTACTGTTCACTGAGGAGAGGCCTCTCCCTGGGGAAAGATAAGGTGAAGCTTAGAGGATCTTGTGTCTGTCTAGTGGTCAAGGCCACAGGCAGGCACTTGAAAATATTCAAGAATTTAGAACCTTTGGGCTTTGGTGTCAAATATCGAGTATGAAGAGCAAACTTTAAAATTTAAACTCTCATATAGTAGGAGCATACCATATGCAAAGCTGTGTACTGAGTACTGTGGGGTCTTGGAGAAGCTTGGGAGGCCGGCCCAGAGGGGCTCAGTAAATGAGGTTCAACTGAACTGAATGAGACCTGGCCTTGCACTTGAAGGTCCTGGGCCTGGGGGAAAGATAGCTCATGCATGAATGCTGTCCACGGTGGTATTGGTGGCTTCTGCTGTGGGAGGTCAGCCCATGGGCTGGGCAGCAGGGGAGGGTGCCTTAGGGCAGGAATGGGGCTTGAGCTGACCTTGGAGGCTGTGAAGACATGGGTGGGGTTTGAGGAGGGGGCGGAGTGTCTGGGAATAGAGAACAGCAGGGGCAAGGCTTTCAGGGAAGACTGAGTCCGGCTCTACTGAAGGACAGAGTGCGTCCTCAGCTTCCATCCAGGGTGGTGGTCCTCCCCACTGCGTGGTTGGGAAACGGGCCAAGGGGCACAGTCTGAAGCCTGGTCAGGGCAGGGTTTCCCATTGCTGGCCCACCCACCTGCCTTCCCAGGGGTGGGCTCCCTGGGTATGACTCAAGGCTCCCCTCTGTCTTCCCCCGATCCTCCAGGCTCGGCATGGAACACGACGGTCAGGGGAACGGCTGTGCGGATGAGACCAGCCTGGGCAGCGTCATGGCGCCCCTGGTGCAGGCCGCCTTCCACCGCTTCCACTGGTCCCGCTGCAGCAAGCTGGAGCTCAGCCGCTACCTCCCGTAGGTCACCCCCCTCTTTGGGGCCCAGGATGGGGAAACACGCAGCCTGCCACTTCATCTCCCTCAAGTCATCCCCCTTCCCAATACCATGCTGCCTCTGAAACACACTCAATTCAAAGCTCTTCTGGTTAGCTCATGGGCCTCCATGCCCCTGGAGGCCTGGGACACCTCGAGGGTGCCACACTGAGGACGAGCACAGAGTAGACTTGGGTGGGGCAGGTGTGGGCAGAGATTCTGTCGCTAACCTCAACAGCAGAAGGCCAGGGCCCAGCATCCTGTGTCCTGCATGACAGGCTGACATTTTTTTCTACCCTCAGGGCAGCAAGCCCTCAAATCGTCCATGGAGCAACCCTTAACCTTGGCCATAGCGCGTCCCTCTAACGTAGGCAAACTGGCCCATAATATAGCTACACGCTGAGCTCCTAGCCCCAACCCTGGGTGCCCCAGCCCTGGAGCACCCTGGACACAGTCGGTGGTGGACATGAGGGGCTGTGTGAGATGAAGCGGGTGGGTTTCTGACGGCTTCCTGCTCCTGAAACCTTGAGAATTATGGCCTCGGCCTGGTTCACTGCCCTGTCTTCACTGGCAGCTCCTACGACTGCCTCCTTGATGACCCCTTTGCACCTGCCTGGCCCCAGCCCCCGGAGCTTCCTGGCATTGACTACTCCCTGGACGAGCAGTGCCGCTTTGACTTCGGCACCGGGTACCATACCTGCTCCGCGGTGAGTTCCCATGGGCCTCTGCCAGCCAGCTCACCAAGACCATGGCCTTCTGTGACCTAGGCTAGTCATCCTCAGAGCATCTTCTTCCCAGACAGGCTGGTGGTATGGAGATGGGCTCGCAGGCTCGGTTCCATCAGGGAGATTTAGGGTGACCAGGGCCCAGGCCCTGCCACCTTCTGCTCCACACCTGCCCCACCCGGTCCTGCCTGTAGGGGTGGGCAAGTGCAGTGGCCGGAGAATGCTTCAGCCCTGGGAAGGATGGCAGCGGTCGCTAACCAGGGCCCAGGCAGAGGCTCAGAGAAGGAGATGTCCCAGGGCAGGGGTTTTCTGAGGGATCAGGCCTTGGTGACTCGCTGAACTGAGTGCCTCAAATCCCCTGTCCAGGAAAGTAGCCCCTTCCTCAGCTCTGCAGGACCAGGAGGCCCTGTGCGTGGTCACCTTCCGCACTGCCCAGGCTACCCTGGGACACGTGGCCTCTGCTTGGGGGTGGAGGAGCAGCCTGGGATATGGGATTTCAATGCCCAATGCTCTATGTGTAAGGACAGCTGTCTGGCTAGCACGGGATTATAGGAGAGACAAGGACATTGGGACCTTTCTGGGCAATCTGAAATAGGCAGTTACCGACCTGTGGCATGGCTGGGTGAGCCTGGAGGGAGATGGCAGTCCCAACCTTGTCTTAAGTGCTGCAGGGTGTGGGCTGGGCCCGCAGCCCCCTCGATGCCACCCACATGCACAGGGCTCAGGGCTATTGTTGGGCCCAGCTTTCCTAGAGTCTCAAACCCTATTCCCCACTCAGTGACAAAGTGTTTACCTTTTGCAAGGGCAGGGAGGGAGGCCTGGGGAGGGAGATGAGGGGAGTGTGGGCTGTGGCTGGCCCCTTCCTCTTGGTGCCCTGCTGGGGAGAGGGGGGGTCGCTGGCAGCCACTGGCACTCGGGGAAGGGTTGGGCTTAGGGTGTGCGGGGCTCTGGCTGGACAGGCCCCTCCCGCTCCCAGCTTCCTCCACTTCCTGCCCTCTGTCACTGCCCTTTGCCCCCTTGTCAGAGCTGGAAAGCCAGTCCAGCCAGCTGACCCTGTTCCCCTTGCCACCCAGTTCACGACCTTTGAGCCCTGCAAGCAGCTGTGGTGCAGCCACCCTGACAACCCGTACTTCTGCAAGACCAAGAAGGGGCCCCCGCTGGACGGCACCGAGTGTGCGCCAGGCAAGGTACCTGCAGCAGGAGTGGCCTCCCTGGGCTCAGGCCCCAGGGGAGCTCCTGCCTCCTCACCGAGTGTGTAACGTGTGCGTGGGGGGGATCTGCTAGAGAGCAGGTGTGAGCCCTGTGTACGTGGAAGCCTCGCATGAACTTCCGCACACTCACACCCTTTCTTCTCTCCCACACGACAGCCTGTGCTTCTGTAGTTGGCAGGGTTTGGTGTCCAACTTGTGTAGGTCACAAAGGGGAGCTGGCAAGGGACGCAGGGAGGACTCACACCCTGCCTACTGTCCCACCCCTCACCGTGCTGTTCCTCCCACACCTGTTCTCCCCTGCATGCTTGACGTTCCGTGTATTTTTCTGGTGTGTCTTTGCTCCCTCGTGCATACGTGCGGGCCCAGGCCTCCTTCGTCAAGGGCCTTGTAGTCAGGTGTGAGAGCCCTGAGCTGGCTTCTCGATCCCACCTCTGCTCTACTGCCGGCCCTGCTCCAGTCACTGTGTTGTGACCTTAGCTCGTTTCTTGAACTTCTTTGGACCCTGCTGGCCCCTGACCACATGCACTTTCCTCCCCTTGTGTGTTTCTAAAGCTACTGAGCCATGCCCAAACCAATGAGAGAGCTCGGAAGAAGCAGATGTGATGATTACTCAGCCTCAGCTGTGAGCTCAAACACAGGGCACCCACCCCGACAGGCCTGTCCTTCCTCTGCGCTCCACCCGCTGCCCTCACCAGGCTCCTCCCACTCACCTCTGGGGCCTCCCATAGCCTCCGACAGGCCCAGCAGGCTCCCGGCCCACAGCCTGTTGTTCTGGAGACTGAATCTGCCTGCTCCACCTGTTATCAAATTTCCAGGCCCTCTGCTGTCAAATGTCACATAACAGTTCATCAGTGGTTCTCAATTTTGACTGCATATTGGAACCATCTGGGGAGCTTTAAAAGTCCCCACCCCCAGAACAGGGAGTTAGTGCATATGGGGATGAGCTGTCTCTTTGGGGTGATGGAAATGTTCTAAAATTGGATTGTGGTGACAGTTGCACAACGCTGTAAATTTATGAAAAATCGTTGAATTATAGACTTGAAATGAGTGCATTTTATGGTATGTCAAGTATATATCTTATTACGGATTCTTTTAAAAAAGTTCCTTCCCCTAGAGATTCTGATTCAGTGGGTCTGGGTGAAGCCAAGGCATCTAGGGTTTTGAAGGTTCCACAGTAACTCCAAGGCTGAGAACCACTGAGTTGGTTTCTTGAGAAAGACCTGGAGCGTTCTGCTCTATTTCTTTCCAGTTGCCTTAGTGGAGAAGGGCACGAAGCTAATCTTAGTGGAGCCCCTTTGTGCCTGGCCCTATGCTAAGCCCTTTGTAGGTGTTACTGCCTTCAGTTCTTAGAACAGCCAAGTGCAGGAAGACTGTGCTTTCTCTCCCACATCAGTCCCTTGTTTCTCCCATGTGGTGAATAAGTAAGCACATAACTATCATAATTAATAGCGCTGTCTGCCATTTCTGGAGGGCTGTGTGCACTAGGCACGATCTCACTGAATGCTCACAGCAGCGCTGTGGCCAAGTGCCATTATCCTCGTGGCACGGTTGAGGAGTAGGCTCAGAAAGGAGAGCCCTTTTGCTGAAGATCATTCTGCCCACGGCAGGGGTGGGATTCTGTGTAACCCGAGGCTTGTGCCCTTAATGCCCCTTTCTCTGGGGTCAACTGTGGTGCCCACCAGCTGCACCATGTGCCTTGTTGGGCACCGCCATGGCAGGCTAGATGGCAGTGGCCCCTGAGTGACCGCATGCCCTCTGCTCCATCACAGTGGTGCTTCAAAGGTCACTGTATCTGGAAGTCACCAGAGCAGACTTACGGCCAGGATGGTGGCTGGAGCTCCTGGACCAACTTCGGGTCATGTTCACGGTCATGTGGGGGCGGAGTGCGATCCCGTAGCCGAAACTGTGACAATCCCTTGTGAGTATGCTTGGCTGGGGTGGGCACAGCGGGGGATCCCTCTCCTGAGGCCTGAGGGGCTTGGAGGGGAAGGCACTGGGGGGCAGAGCACAAGAGAGAAGGGCTGCTGCAGGTGGCTGTGCATTCTAATGCATGATGACCCAAAATTGTCAGGGCGGGGCGGGGGGATCACTCCCACTAGGGTGTAGTAACATCTCCCATGGGGTCTGACATCTGAGAATCGGTTTAAACCAGCGATTGCCAAACTTGTGTGCAGAGGTTTTCCTGCAGAGTTTGGGGCCCAGGGCTCTACTGGTTTAACAAGCCCTCCTGTGACCCTGGTCTCCTCTGGCTAATCTTTGAGAAAACACTGATCTAACTCGCTTAGGAGTCATGTCTTGGGAGAATAAATTCCCCAAGTTTGTTTTCTACCGCATGAAACAGAACTTTTTTAATTTTCCTAATATACCTCTTTCTGATATCAAATCGCCCCTCTCACTGTCCCCCCACCCAACTTTCAGCATTCAGGGACCGTTCTGTTTCTCCCTTGTTATCCCCTCTGTGGGGACCCCTCCCATGGTGTTGGAATTTCCGGGCACCAGCTCTGCATGGACTCCGTCTCCCAGGCTGAAACACCTTGCCTACAACAGCCTTATGAGAGATGGGAGTTGGCAGGGGCTGGCATGGGGGCCCGCTAGCTCCAGGGACACGATGAGCGATGGGACGAGGACTGTAAGATGGCAGGGTCCTAGCATCACAGTGGCTCGGGAGCAGACATACCGCTCTGGCATCCTCAGAATAGGTCCTACATACTCTGCAGTTAACCTCCAGTGATGGGAGGCTCACCACCTCCTGGAGCAGCCGGTCCCTGTGTCAGATGGCCGGACTGACCTCTCACGCCTATGAGCTAAAATGCACTGCCTCGTAACTTCCACCTGTTGGGGGTACGGAAGCTGGGGTTAGAGCAAGGCCCAGTGGTGCCCACTCTGAGTAAACTACCTTTCAGTCACGATGGATAGTTATACCCTTAATCAAAGCCTCCATTTATTGACTTCTCTGTAATAATAACTTTTTATTTTACGAGGCTTAAATGAAATAAATATGTATACTCTCAGCACCATACCCAGCACAGATGAAGCACTAATAAAGAACATCTGCTGTAATTATTTCAGTCTCTGGAGCATTTTCTCTTTGCCAGGTGGGATGTGAAGCACTTTCCTATGTAAACCCACGTAATCCTCCCAGCACCTCTGAGCAGAGTACCAGTAGCCTGGTGCATTCGAATGCTTTGTATTAATAATCTTAACTGATCCTCTGAATTTAATGGAGAAGAGAGTGCCTATTGCTTTATTCATTTTTTAATTCTCACCCAAGGATATGTTTACCGATTTTAGAGAGAGAGGAAGGGAGAGAGGGGGCAGGAGAGAGAGAGAGCAAGACATCAATGTGAGAAACATCAGTTGGTTGCCTTCTGTATATGCCCCTGTATATTGAACCTGCAACCTGGGTATGTGTCCTGACCAGGGATCAAACCCATAACCCTTTAGTGTATGGAACAGTGACCCAACCAGAGACAGATTGCTTTAAAATACCTTTTCTTATTTATTCTTCGCAGATACACCAGGAGGTAGGTAAAATAAGAAGTATTATGGTCCCTCCTTTAAAGGGGAAATTAAGGCATAGCAAAACTAAGTAACTTACCCAATATTGCAGTCAGGACTGGGGGTTACAGGAACAGTTGAGTTATTTACTGGGTCCATACTGTATGTCCGGCCCTGTGTAACAGTTGAAAGAATATAGTACAAAGATGAATAAGGCTGATTTCCAGCCCAGTCGGGAGGATTAGTCATTCCCATCTTCCTCATCTCTCACCTACCTCTCCTTCCCCTTCTCTTTCCCCCTTTTCTGCCCCACCCCCTAGTGGAACAGGTAGCATATGTTTGAAGGATGGAGCCACTGATCCAGCAGGCTCTGAACTCAGCAGTCCCCACAGTGGGGGACCCTCTGCAGTTTATCAGTTAGTAGAGCCCCTCTTTAAGCTAGTCTAACAGGCTGAGCTGCCATGTGGGAAGCCCAGCCCTCCCCAGCCCTCCCAGCTAACAAGGTCACCAGGTCGCTCTGTGACTGCCCCAGCCCAGCCTACGGAGGCCGCCCGTGCTCCGGGCCCATGTTCCAGTACCAGGTCTGCAACAGTGAGGAGTGTCCGGGGCCCTACGAGGACTTCCGGGCCCAGCAGTGTGCCAAGCGCAACTCCTACTACATCCATCAGAACACCAAGCACAGCTGGGTCCCCCACGAGCCTGATGACGGTGAGTAGGCCCTTCTCCCCTCCCACCTCCCCATATCCTTGAGCATCTACTGGGTTCATGTTGGGCCAGGCAGGGCCTTCCAGGCCTGGGCCCACCAGTGAAGGTAGAGGGAGAGTGGGGGCACCAGAAGGGAGATTGCCGTCGGCAGGCTTGCCACATACGTCTGTGCAGGCCATCACATTGTGGGTACCTCGGGAAGGCCTCTGTCCTCATGCAGTCATCCCTGAATTATATACTTACAATAACTGTTTTCTGGAGATGCAAGGAAATGTCTTGAGCAAGGCCACTCCCCCCGAGGTGCTGTGGGGCTGCCAGCTCTGCTGGCTGTTGGGGTCACTGCCTTTCACCCTTGCCCTCACCTGTACGGAAAGGCACAGTACAGGTGCAGGCTTTGCAAAACCAGCGTCCTGAGAAGTTCAGTCCTGTCATAGGCCATGGTTTTAAGTTCTACTGATTATGCCACCCTTTCAGCAGTTAAGGAGAATGATTTGAAAGGCAGGTGGATGGGAACCTAGGGATCCTCATACAGAACCCCTCCAGGCTGCTCTGGGACAAAGGCCTTGGAACTCACGTAGGGGGACCAAGACAGTACTAGGGCCTGTCTATTGGGGAGTATTTCCAGTGATGGCTCTTGTAGTGGCTGAGGGGACCCAGGGAAGGGCTGGGGTTCACGGTGCCCTCGAGCCTTCAGGCTAGAAGGGCCCTTAACAGTCCTCTGAGCCCACCTCCCCCGCCACTCCCTCCGTGGCCCTTCCACGGACTGATGCTCACTGCGGCCACGCAGCCCTTGGCCTCCGATACCGTGGGTTAGAACAGCTTTTCCTCTCCAAGCTCTGGCTGCTTCTTTGTAGCTCTGGTTGCCTCTTTGTAGCTCTGATTCCAGAGTGTCAATTGTAGGCCCCTCTGCTTCCACTCACATTTAGAATGACAGTCTTCAAGATGGAAGGGACCCCAGAAGCCTGTCCATTGCCTGCCAGCATTCAGCCCTCTGGAACATGTTTACAGGGAGTGTCTTCCCTTTGCTTGGATTCCACCTGCTCTGGGGAGCTCACCATTCCCTTGCCACCATAGACTGGCTTCCACAGCTGTCCTGAGACCAGCCTGCCCAGGGCATAGCAGTCAGGGTCCTACCTGTCTTTGGGATGGTTGGAGCCCCTACCCTTGGCCTCACCAGGTCCCACCAGGAATCTGGCTCCTGTGTATGAAATCCAAAGTGGTATTGGATGTTGTGGCTCTAGACTCGAGTCCTGTGTGCTGGAGCACGACATCGCTAGGCATCCTGGGAACCCAGGAACGAGGATGGGAGCCTGATGGTTCCTTAGAAATTTTGCTGAGTGAGCAGCTTGCTTTGAAAGCCTTACAGATGCAGTCAGAATCCAAACAAGCCACTGTAGCTGGGGGTGTGGAGGGGATGGGTCAACTGGACTTTGGGTTTTCCCAAGACTTTTAGACAAATTCCAGGAAGTTAGCTAAGTCCCAGCCTCCCATTTTTCTAAGAAACACAGTGAATGTTTATATCTTCTCTGAGACCTCCTTTTTAGGACATCAATAGCCCAGATAGAGAATAGAACATTTACTTGTTAGAACTAGAAAGGACCCCCTTACCCCTTCACTGCTGTTCCATTTACAAACCCAAACACAGATTATTGCTGTGCCTGCCTTCCACACAGTCTTGTAACATTTACAAGCAGGTTAAGATACACTATCATATGTATGACTGGGGAAATGTCTGTAAGGTCAGAGCAGGACTCAAGCCAGACTGCCTGGGTTAGAATCCTGGCTCTTCCACTTAACCGTGTGGCCCTGAGCAAATTCCTTAACCTCTCTGGTCATTGGTTTTCTCCTTTGCTAGAACCTACTTTGCTAGAACCTTGGGGTATTGAGTGTTTTAAATGACTTAGTTCACAAAAAACATTTAAAGTTGTATATCAAGAGCGTGTAAAGAACTTGGAGGTATCTGGGACATAGTAAGCATTAACTAAGTGTTGGCTCATTGTTGTTATCACTTGATTTTTCTCAACAACCTGATGTGCCGTTTTATTGATCAAGGATAATAAGTAAGAAACTGAGGCTCAAAGGGGTCAGATCATTTGCTCAAGGTCACATAACTAATAAATAAGTGACACAGCAGGGGTTTTAAGCCTCAGCCCCCGTGCTCCTTCTGCTGCCCAGAGCTGGACCCGGAGCTTCCTGCTTGGTCCCCGTGCGATGTCATCCTGACCCAGCCCACTTTCTCTGAGCCCAGCGGGGGCTCAGCAAGGCCCCTCTCCCCACAGACACTCAGAAGTGCGAGCTGATCTGCAGGTCAGAGGACACAGGGGATGTGGTCTTCATGAACCAGGTGGTCCATGATGGGACACGCTGCAGCTACCGGGACCCCTACAGCGTCTGTGCCCGCGGCGAGTGTGTGGTAGGTGATGCCCTCCAGGCCACCCACTCTGGCAGCCCTGGGGGACTGGAGGGCTCCACTGCCTGCCCCTTCTGCTCCCTACAAAAACAAGTATTGCCTCACTGTCCCCACCATGACATCCGTTGGTCCTCAACAGCCCTGGGTTGCTAGAAAGGGATTATCACCCAGCCCCATTCAAGAGGAGAGGAGTGGGCTGGCTTTAAGACCTTGCCCATGTCACATGCAGTCTGTGACAGAGCTCCTGTCCAGGAATGCCTCTTGATTCGGAGTCTCTCATGTCTGGGGGCTGGGGTCCAGGGAGGGGACCACAGGCTGCTGACCCCAGGACGGTGATAAGGACATGGTAGCCTCCTCCACTGACCCCATCTCTGACCTCAGCCCGTCGGCTGTGACAAAGAGGTGGGGTCCATGAAGGCAGATGACAAGTGTGGCGTCTGTGGTGGTGACAACTCCCACTGCCGGACTGTGAAGGGGACTCTGGGCAAGGCCTCCAAGCAGTCAGGTGAGCAGGCTGGGGCCGGAGGGATGACTGGGAATGACTGGGAATGACTGGGGTTTGGCCCAGCCAGGATCCGGGGGCCTGGGCTGTCCCTCCGGTGGGCCCTTCCTCCTTGAGCTGGGCCACAGATTACGGTGGGGAGAAAGGACCTTAAAGCCTGTCGTCAGACCTTCCCAGGGTGCCCAGGGCTGGAGAGCCAGACGCAGTAGCAGACCACCTCATTTTCTAGGTGGTCCGCTGCCTGTGTTTGGGGCCAGGAGCTCAGAAGCATTTTCCTGCTGGGCAGTGTGTTGTGATGGGAGGTCAGCCACCTCTTGGCTCTGGGGCTGTTGGTGGGAGTGAGGGGTCAGACAGGTCTGAAAGCGTGGCCCAGACTGAGCTGGGAATTATCTTTTCCTCTTTGCTCTTTCATTTTAAAAACACCGGTGGTGCCCTGGCTGGGTGGCTTGGTTGATTGGAGCATTGCCTTGTGCACCAAAAGTTTGCGGGTTTGAGTCTCAGTCAGGGCACATACCTAGGTTGGGAGTTTGATCCCTAGTTGGAAAGTGTATGGGAGGCAACAGGTTGATGTTTCTCTCTCACAATGATGTTTCTCTCTGTCTCTCTCTCTCTCTCTCTGTCTCTCTCTCTCTCTCTCCCCCTCTCCCTCCCTCCCTCTCTCGGTCTAAAATCAACAAACATCCTCGGATGAGGATTTAAAAAAAAAAAAAAAAAGCACCTGTGGTGCCTCCTGCTCTGAATCCTTGTTACTTTTGGGTGCCTCGGTTCCCTCTCCACCTGCAATCTTGCCACACTTGCTGTGGAAAGGCCAGATATTAATTAGTCCTTTACATTCTAGTATGAACTAGATCCATTTCTCCTTGGGGGATGTTATGGCCCTACCTCGCCTCTCCTTGACGGGAGAAGATTGGCTGCTCTGAGGAAGGTTTATTCCCAGGCCTTGGACCAGGAGGGCCGTGAGGGCTTAGGGCGGCCATGCGGGATCTTCATGGCCTGCTTCATCTAAATCCCTGCAGTGGCTAAAGGTGTGAACATAAAGGGAGGAGAGAATATCAGGAGAGAAGGGGAGGGTCAAGAATGTGGGAAATAATAGCAACTGAAACACACACACACAGAGCCCCTTAGGGTTCACAGAGCATTTTTAGCTACAGCAGATCTGGTCATCACTGTGGGGAGGGGCCCACGCCTGTTTTACTGATCAGGAAACTGAGGTTCCTGGGTACCTGCAGGGGCGGGGGCGAGGCAGGGGATGCTGGGCAGTAGGGCCACCAGCTCACGATGCTCACAGGTTTTCGGGATCCTCCTCTGGCAGGGGCTCTCAAACTGGTACAGATCCCTGCGGGTGCCCGGCACATCCAGATTGAAGAGCTGGAGAAGGCCCCCCACCGCATTGGTGAGTACCGGGGTGCTGGGAGACGGACTGCCAGGCCCCGGGACCTGCCCACAGGTTTAGGGGAGCTGGGAGAGTGGAGGAGAGGATTCCAATGCAGGGAGGGTGTCTCAAGTTTGAATAATGGCAGAGAACCCCTTTTTATTTTGTTTTCCCGTGGTTCTGCCATTTGGGCTGGGCTGAGCTGGGGGCCACATGTGCCTCATTGCCTGGACTCACTCATGCAAATGCGGTCAGCGGGTGGGTCTCTAGGGACTGGGTTGGTACTGGCTGTCAGCTGGGGTCATGGGGGTGACAGGGCTGTGTCCCCAAGAATTAGCCCAAGGTTATGTACGTGGTGTCTGTCACATGGTCCTCAGGAGTGGCGAGAGCAGGCGAGCCCAGTGTGCAAGCACTTTTCTTAAGTCTCTGCTTGCATCATGCTTTCTACTGTCCTGTTGGCCCAGCAAGTCTTGTGGCCAAGCCCAGACTCAGGGTGTAGAAGCAGACCATCTCCTGATGGGAAACACGGTAGAGTCACGGAGCAAAGAGGCAGGTATACAGGAGTAGGAGGAATCTGTACCATGTTTACAGCCCACCACATGGACCCTTAAATTATTTTGATAATGACAAACACATAGTCACTAAACTAGGTGCCTACTCGTTATAACAGTTATAGAACTGTATAGCCAAGGCAGATTAAGAATCAGGGCCTCCAAATAAATCAATAGAATTCAAATGAAAAACATTACTATAATGGGAGAGATTTTTGTTGTTGTTGTTGGTTTGTTTGTTGTGTTTTTGCTGAAACTAAGTTGGCAGTCAAAAAATGAGCATGTCTGAAAGAGGCAAATCCATAGAGATAGAAAACAGGTCAGTGATTGTCAGGGGCTGAGGGGAGGGGCAATGGGGAGTGACTGCTAATGGGTTTCAGATTTCTTTGGGGATGATGAAAATGGTCTGGAATTAGATAGTGGTGATGATTGCACAACTTTGTAACTATACTAAAAATCACTGAATCGCACACTTTAAAAGGCTCGATTGTATGGTCTGTGAGTTATACCTGAATTTAAAAATCATAAACATGGTTAAGAGCAGGGCCCTGGCAGGGAGGTACACAGCGGGCTCTTGCCTGCACTTTGGGCGATGGACGGGCTCTCTCATACTTGTCTGTGTTCAGCCCCCTCCCAGAGGCACGTGGGCTACAATGCCACTTAGGCCCCTCTTACATATTGTGCCCACCAAGTCACACTGCTTGGCCCCGATTCATCATAAACAGAAACACAAAACAACACCTCTTGAAGCAGGTTTTTATATCACAAAAATGCTGACATTTATATTTTTAGATTATCTTCAAAGTAATCCACACATTTTTAAAAGTCTTCCAGATAACTTATCTCCCTTGGAAAGCACAACCTCATTAACATTGCTGTAACTGGTCTGGAAGGCACCTAGAGGGTGTAGCCCGAACAGGCAATAGGCACAAGAGGAAACTGAGACCCAAAGTGGATTGTGGGCCCTCTGTGTGCCCTGATTAACCTACAGGGTGAGCCAGCCTGGGCCTGGGTCTTCTGTCTCCTGCCCCGGGCCCTTGGCAGCCGCATCACTCTGCACAGGGAGTGCAAGTTTAGAGGGCTTTGGCTCAGGCAACTCCTTTCCCACTTGCCCTGGGAATCCTGCTGGAATAGAGCCAGAGGAGAGGAGGGAGCAAGGAGAGAAGGGTCATTTACTCCAGAAAAAGCGTGGCGCTCACAGGCTATTACTGCTCCCCTATGGGTGATTCCTTAATACCAGCAGCTCCTCGGGCCTCCTCCTCCCGTTGTTTCTACCCCTGTCTCTGGAAGTCAAGCGTCTTGATCCTCTGTAGGGAGGGAGAGATCCAGGAAGCTTCTGTAGAGATGAGACAGAGGCTTCTAGCACCAGGGTGGGCTCTGTACATGCACGTTCGCCTGTGTGTTTATTGGATACATTCCCTGGAAGGTCGGGGCTCTGCCGGAGCCAGGGCGGGGAGAGGAGTGGAACTTGGCACTGGCACAGGTTGTGTGATTCTTCATGGGTGAGGCACATGGCGGGCCCTCAGTAGAGATGTGTAAACTATCTGTGTGTGTGCATATGTGCCTTTGTATGAGCCTGTGTATCCCCGATGGTATGTGCTCTCTGGGGCAGCCCAAGCCAGGTGGCAGCCTTGGCAATGAAGGCCAAGGCCCTGTCCAAACTGCTTAGCCTCTCCTGGAATTTAGGGACATGGACTCTTTAAAAGGAAGAGAAAGTATGCTGTTATATGTCTACGTGTGCTGGCCGTTGAGCTGGCACTTTCCATATATTATCTCGCTTAAGCCTTGGGACGATCCATGGAGGCTCCTGTTAGGACCCATTTTGTGGCTAGGGAAAGAGGTTAAGGTAGTTGCCTAAGGTACAGAGTGGGTCAGCGGCAGGGCCCGGACTCAGAGCTGGGCCTGATGGTAGAGTCCATGCTCATTCCAGCCCACCACCTCTTGGAACGAGCATTGTACCGTAGCGGGAGGGGACGGCGGCTGCTGTGAGGTGTGGGAGCAGACTAGGGTCGGCGGGAAGATTTGAGGCTGGGCCCGGCCCGAGAACCTGCCCATCTCTAGCCTAGACATTCTGGTGACTCTGAAGGCTGAGAGATATCAGAGATGAGGGGGCATCTCTCTTTCTCCTGCTCATCAGGGAGGCTGATCCCAATTCCTGGGCCTTGGGCCGCTAGGGGTCTGTGGCCTGTTAGGAACCAGGCCACACAGTAGAAGGTGAGCGGTGGACCAGCCAGCAAAGCTTCACTTGCATTACCACCTGAGCACCACCTCCTGTCTCCCCACCCTGCCCTGCCCCCCTCGGCAGTGGAAAAATTGCCTTCCACAAAAGCGGTCCCTCGTGCCAAAATGGCTGGGGACTGCTGCTCCAGAGAACTGGGCCACCAGCCCACTGCCCGTCTCGGAGCCTCTGACTCCCCATCTGGATTAATAACAGCACCAACCTCAGGACGTGGCTGAGGATTTCACTGAGGCAGTTAGCGAGTGATCAGCACGTGGTTAGTGCTCAAGCGTGTTAGCTCTTCTGTTATAGTTATGCTGGATGGCTCGAATCTGCCCGTGGAGGGGCCACCCCAGGGCTCTGGAGCCTTTGCTGCCCCACCTGGCTGAGGGGCTCAGGTCCCAGGCTGCAGCCCTTCCCACCCCTGCTGATTCCAGGGCAGCTGAGGCTGCAACTCAGGACTTTACTAGAGTGTCTGCACCTACACATCTCCCAACTGGCCTCTTAGTAGCAAGTTGTGAGTTATTCATGGACTAGGACTTCAAGGAGTAGAAATTTACAGATATTTTAGAAACTCTCACTCCATGCCAGGCTATGTGCTGGGCCGAGGAAACCGAGAAAGAGGAATGAGCTGACAGGCTGTGGGAGACACGAGACATCTATAATCACTACAGTGCTAAAGTCAGGTGCTTTTCTGTTGAGAGCTATAGTGCCTATCATTTATTAATCGCCTACTGCATGCCATGCTCTCTTCCTAGTTCGTTACATGTATGAGCTCTTTTCATTGTCCCAAGAGCCCCAGGGAAGGTGGGTGGGGGTGGGGGACTTCGATTATCATCCTGTGGCAGCAGCCCTGTGAGCTAGGTACAATTGTCATTCCCATTTTACAAGGGGTGAAACTAAGGCAGCGCTGGGAGGCTCAGGAACTTCCCCATGATCAATCTGACTTTGGAACCTGTATTCTTAACCCCTGTGCTCTGCTATAGAAGTTCTAGGGAGGGTAAATCCCCAAGGACTGGGCAATCAAAGATTTCCTGGAGGAGGGGGAAATTGTGTTGGCCTTAAATGTGGGCGGAGTTCAGTCAGGCAGGGAGAAGGGAACACAGTGAGGGTGGAGGGGAATGGTGTCCGCCAGGATCCAGAGGCAATGACACTGCGGGGGACGGGGGGGACTGTGGGCACCTGTTTGATTGGGAAAAGGCTCAGGGGGGAACAGGTAGATAGGGAGCCCCGAGGGGACCCCTGTCAAGGTCTGAGGCCCCTGAAAAGGTCTGGCCTGTGCTTCTTTGGAGGGGAACAGAAATCTCTGTGTCCCTCTCGCCCTGGCCAGCGGTGAAGAACCAGGTCACAGGCAGCTTCATCTTCAACCCCAAGGGCAAGGAAGCCACTAGCAAGACCTTCACCGCACTGGGCCTGGAGTGGGAGTATGCGGTGGAGGATGCTAAGGCGGGCCTCAAGACCGGCGGGCCCCTGCCCGAAGCCATCGCTGTCCTGGTGAGCCCCAACCCTGCACTGGGGCCCCTGCTCTCCCCCTTGCTACCCAGGCCGGTCCTCCTCGCTCACTGTCTCCGCCGCTGAGCCAGCAGAAGCCTGGTGGAAATCCTCCCGTTCCACTGTCTTCAGGAGCCAAGGTGCCCTCCATCCCAGGCCGGCTCCTCATTTGTGCTTAAAGGCTGGCAGGAGGGCAAGGGAGAAGGGAAAAAGAAACAGTGTCTCACTGTCAGAGCAGAGATGCCACACACAGGGAGTTTGTTCTCCTTAATGTAGGGTCAGAAATGGGGCCTGGAAGGAGCGGGAGGGACCTGGGTTTGTTCCTTGTGTTGTCCTGGCATCGTCCAGCGTCAGCGTGCATTATGGCATTGCCAACAAGTGAGTTGGCAACGGACCCCGCCTGGCACTGCTGGTTTCCTGAGAAGGGAACAGGACCACTGTCCTGGCTGGGGCCTCTCTGTCAAGCCCTTCTTCCTAGACCACAGGCCAGTGCTTACGGAATAGGGACCATTAACCCAGCAGAGCAGGAGGGGCTCTGTCCACAGTGCCCTTGGCTCCGCTGGCTGCAGCACATGGACGGGCTTTGTTCCTGGTGCTGCCCTCACTGTTAAGGAGGTCCTGGAGGCGGGGGTCAAAGGCCTGCTGATGTCAGCATGTTAATTCAATCCAACACGTATTTTCTATTCACCCTGTATTTATCGATCACCCATACAACTATGGCCAATTGATTTTCAACAAAGGTACCGAGGCCATTCAATGGGGACAGAATAATCTCAACTGAAAATCCATAGCTAAAAGAATGAAGCTGGACCCCTATCTGATATAATATGCAAAAATGAGCTCAAAATAGATTAAAGACCTAAATATGAGAGCTCAAACCGTAGAACTCTTAGAGAAAACAGGGATGAATCTGACGAGATTGGAGTCTTAGGCACGACACTGAGAGCATGAGCAACAAGAGAAAAAATAGGTAAACTGATTTTCATGGAAATTGAAAACTTTCACACATCAAAGGACAGTATCAGGAAAGTGAAAAGACAACCTATAGAACAGGAGGAAATGTTTGTAATCAAACATCTGGTAAGAGTCCAATATCCAGTCTATATGCATTGACTTTCTACTAGAGTCAGGCAGTGTGGGTGCTCTGGTGAGCAAGACAGACCAACAGACATGTTGGTGCGCCCTTGTTAAGGCTTAGGTCTGTGGGAGGGGAAAGCGCCAGGCTGTGCTCTGGCCTGACACACAGTAAGGGCTTAGGCTGAGTTTGCTGTGTAGCCGCTGGTCCGATTGGCCTCCGCAGGCGATACTGAGTGCTATCCTCTTGCTGGCTTTTTTAATTAATTAATTTTTAGAGAGAGGGGAATTGGGGGGAGAAAGAGAGGGAGAGAAACCTTGACGTGCAAGAAAAACATCAATCAGTTGCCCCCTGTGTACCCCCAGCAGGGACCCTTGCCCACAACCCAGTCCTGTGCCCTGACCTGGAATTGAACTGATGACCTTTTGGTTTGTGAGACCACGCCCAACCCACTGAGCCACACCGGCCAGGGCCTCCTGCTGGCTTTTACCAGTTCTGCTTCTGACCTCACATTCTTCCCTTTGACCCTCCCCTGATGCTGGCCTTGCTTCTCTGCTCTCCAATCCTGTGCCATCTCCTCTATCTCCCTTTAGGTGCTCCCCCCGGCTGAGGGTGGCCCCCGCAGCAACCTGGCCTACAAGTACGTCATCCACGAGGACCTGCTGCCCCTCATCGGGAGCAACAATGTTCTCCTGGAGGAGACGGACACCTACGAGTGGGCACTCAAGAGCTGGGCCCCCTGCACCAAGGCCTGTGGAGGAGGTACTGGCTCGCTTGGGCCCGGCTGCCCCAACTGTCCAGCTGTCCTTGGGGGTAGCCCAAGGCCTCTCAAAAGGAGAGGAGCAGGAGTGGCCAGAGGGCTGACATTGTCTCTACCCAACACGTCCCCAGCTCATGTCTCACTTTATCCTTGAAGACCTTCAGGGTATGGAAGCCTGCCTGGGTAGCATCTCTGGGATAGGACAGGAGTAGCATCTAGGGCAGGGTCTCTGTGCAGAGAGGCAGCCATCCTCAGCCAGTCCCCGCCCACACTACCCCAAGGACATGAAAGATAGGCTGATCAGGAAGTCTTTCTTAGAAAGTGACAGGGGGCGGGGTGGGGGAGGGAGGGAGATGCAGAGTGCAAAGGCGCTGAGGGATGGGATTGGCCCTCCAGGCTCTCCAGAGCTGACTGTCCCCAAGGCCCCAGGCAGGCCAGTGAGGGCCTGGCAGGACCAGTCCCTTGGCAGCCTGCCCTCTCCACAGGTATCCAGTTCACCAAATACGGCTGTCGGCGCAGGCGAGACCACCACATGGTACAGCGGCACCTGTGCGACCACAAGAAGAGGCCCAAGCCCATCCGCCGGCGCTGCAACCAGCACCAGTGTCCCCAGCCTGAGTGAGTGCCCGGGGAGGGACAAGGAGCCCGATCCCACGCCCGTCTGGGGTGTTGCAGACCTGCTCTCAGCCCTGGCCTTGGAGGAGAGGCTGCGGAGCCTGCTCCCCGAGCCCTGTGGCCTGGAGGCTCAGCACCTGCAGGCAGGGGTCCCTGAGCGGAGGCAGCCCACACCAGGCTCTGCCCACGGCCAGCGCTGCCCTCCTGTCCCTCTGTCCCCCCTGGGTTTCCAGATTAACTTTTACTCCCAGAGGGAAGATGCTTCCTTTGTTCTGTCACTCCCAGCTTTCTTTCACAGAGTGGGAAACAGGCCCAGTTTGGAGACACAACTTTCCCTCAATGATCTGGGAGGTCCATGGAGGTGAAGCAGATTTTGCTGTTTCCAGGCTCCACGCCCCAGGCCAGGATGCTGGCCCCCAGCACCTCTTGGCCCAGTCCTCTGGGCCATGGACTTGGCCTGGACTGCCAGCCCCAGCCGCGGTCTAGCCCTGGCTGGGGTACCCCGGCCTGAGGATACCGGCTCTTTGGAGCACAGGGTCATGTTCTTGGGGTTATTTGGAGGGAGCCTTGGGGAAAGGAAAGAGCTGTGACTTGTGGCAGATTCAAGGTCAGGCCTCTGAGCCTTTCTCAGAGCCAGCTCAGCACTGGTAACTGGGCAGCGGGAAACCGCAGAGAGCCAATCTCTTGCCTTCCCAGCAGCCGCCCAGGGTGGGGGTCAGGAGCCGGCTCGCAGCTGATTCACAGCAGCCCCTGCTCCGTCGGGCTAGGGGAGCTCCAGGGCCAGGGCCAGGGCCAGGGCTGGTGGCCAGCGCGAGAGCCCGCCGCAGCCTCCCTGTGCCCGGCCCAGGCTGTGATCCGCAGTCCCTCAGCCCTCCGCACTTTCCTTTTATGTCTTACTGTCCAGTGTTATTCAGGCCACTTTCCCCACAAATGTCTATGATCACAGAGCATACAAGGCTAATGGGTCAGCCACTCCGGCTTGTCTGTAAAATTGCCCGATGAAGTTTTGGGGCTTTAAAGGAAGGGGCTGGCTGAAAGAGCCCTGGTTTACCACCAGTGTAGCTGAAGCTCTGCAGGCACTGATGATGATAGTAATAGAGCCTGCATTTACTACATGCCTACTGTGTGCTATGCACCCTGCCAGGTGCTTTACATATATCAAGTCCTTTCATTGTCCCTAGGGCCCCATGGGAGGGGGTTCCACTAGACAAGTTGTGGCTCTCATCTGTCCTGTGCACTGGCGTACCTCAGCGCCTAGGACAGTGCCAGCACACAGTAGGCACTCAAACATTTATGAGGTGTTGAGAGGCTCCTGATGGAAAGAGGGGGTAACCGGGGCTTAGAGGGGTTAATAGCTTGCCCAAGGATATGCAGGGTGCTGGGATTTAAATATGCATTATACCCATTTTTCAGATGAGGAGACAGAGGAGAGATTAAGTGACCTCCTTGAGGCCACACGGGCTGGCAGCTGCAGAGCCAGACGGACAGTTGTCCTGGCCCCAAGCATTCTGAAGCCCAAACCCACTCTCTGGCTCAGGCCTGCAGTTCAGTGGGTGAAAATGACCCTGGGAAGAAATGTCCCCATGGTCCCACCTCCCCTCCCCCTTCTACCCTGTCTGTCTCCAGGTGGGTGATGGAGGAGTGGGGCCCCTGCAGCCGGAGCTGTGGGAAGCTGGGGGTGCAGACGCGGGGAGTTCAGTGCCTGCTGCCCCTCTCCAACGGAACCCACAAGGCCATGCCAGCCAAAGCCTGCCCTGGAGATCGGCCCGAGGCTCGGCGGCCCTGTCTCCGAGTGCCTTGCCCAGCCCAGTGGCGGACGGGAGCCTGGTCCCAGGTGGGTTGTCCTCAGAGGGTGGCAGGGGCTGGGCCAGTGGGGCACATTCTCTGGGGAGTTGGAAGAGGTTGGTCTGGGTAGGGGAACTGCTGAGAGATCTGGCGCTGCTCGTAGGTAGTTTCCGGCTGACTTTTCCTCCCCTTATTGTTTCTGAACAGCAAGTTAGGGGTCCTGCTGCTCGCCGCCACCCACTAGGCAAAATTCTAGAGGCAAAGCCTTAGTGATAAAGGAAAGGAGTCTTTATCCAAAAGCTTCACAGTTTTGGAATAACAGCTTTCCACAAGAATTAGTCACTTAGGCCTATCAATTAAGGCTAAATTCTTTAACTCTTTAGTTACAGCTTTAATCACGTAAGCATATCAATTAAGGCTAAACTCTAAATACCTGGGTTCTCCTAGCATTCCCCCTGTTAGTTTTTAGTTACGGTATCTCAATTCTATAGGGTTAGTTTACAAACCAAAACAATATAAGATACAAAAGCTATGCAATTTTGGAAGATACAAAAGCTACACAATTTCAGAAGAATGGCAGGCTTCTGCCTCAGAGCTCATTCCCTCCAAAACACCCAAAGAATAAACCTGCCACCTGCTGCCAGACCAGTCCAATCTCGGGCTGTGCCCAGAGTTCCTTCCCATCCAAAATACTGTCCTTTAGGAAACACAGGCCGCAGCAGCATGATCATCCAGGCATCCTCTAGGAAGAAGAGTCTGAGAGCCAGAGAGAGCCCACCAAGGAGCCAAGGAGCCTGAGACCCAGCCCTTTTTACTTCAGATCTTCTAACCCATAATTCCATGCGCTCCAGAGGCTTTCAGCTTCTCCGTCAGTCCCATCCTAAGCTGTTTACCATTGCCTCCTCCCTACTTCTCCCCAGTGATCTGATCAGATCTCTGTATCATTATCTGATTTGGTTTTTCTCAAAACTAAGTGGAACAGCCCCCGTGTACACTGGGCCATGGGTCTGGGTTAGGCCTTTGCAGTCATTCATTATGTGCCTTGACCTTTATGCAGCACCAGGACACATGGGCTCATATCCCCATGTCACAGATGAGCAAATTAAAGCATATTCTTACATTTAAGAAATATTTGCTAAGTGCCAACTGCATACCAGGCACAGTGAACTCGGAATGCAGGAATCCATTAGTCAGAGTCTGATTCTTGTGCTTATAAAGCGTGTAGTCCAGTGAGGGAGACATAAGGGACAAAGAAACCTGTAACAAAAGCATTTACAGGTTGTGGTTGGAGCTGTGTGGGAAGTGAGTGGATTATTGTACCTGGGAGGGCTTCTCTGAGGAGGTGATCTTTGAGTTGAGATCTGAGGGATGCGCCACCGGAAGCCCCTGAGGCAGGAACAATCTTGCCACTTTCCGGAAACTGAAAGGACGGTGGGACTGGAGCTTCAGGAAAGGGGCAGGGGCTGCGGGAGGACATTGGAAAGGTGGCCAGGATTGGCGAAGAGTTAAAACGTATCCTCAGAGCCGTGGGTAGCTCTTGCAGAATTTTTATGTGAGTGTTACACACCCTGATTTCAGGTTTAAAGGCTCACTCTGGCAACTTGGTAGAAAGTTCATTGTCGGGAATCAGGATAGAAAGAGGGAAACAGTAAGAAGGTTGAGGAATAGCCCAGGGGCTTGTGGGCAGGCCCTGCGAGTAGCCATTGGATCTTTTTTTTGATGTCTTGGGTTATCCCTTAAAAATTTGTTTGATATGAACCTTGAAGACATTATGTACGTGAAATAAACCAGCCACAGAATCACAAATACTGGATGATTCCACTTATATGAGGTGCTAGAGTAGTCAAATTCACAAAGACAGAAGGGAGAATGGTGGTTTCCAGGGCAGGGGAGGGACCACTGGGGAGTTGGTTGCGGGGACAGCGTGGTTTGGGACCACAAAGGGCCCTGGAGGCGGCGGCGGGGAGGGCGGCACAACAGTGTGGATGTGCTTATACTGCGGCTGCGCGCCCCGGAAGTGGTTGGAATGGCAGATGTCATGTGATACTTACCGCGGTATAAAAAACCACAGTATAAAAAGATTTGATCAAGGAGGGAAGCACGATGGTGCTTATCATAATTGCAAAAAATTAGGAAACATCCTAAATGTTCATCCATCGGAGGCTGGGGAAAACAAATCATGGTCTGTTCATGCAATACTCTATAGCGAGAAAAAGAAATAAGCTTGAACTGTACATATCATCATAAACCTCAGAAAAATAAATTTAGGTGAGAAAAAGCATGGATGTGTGAAGAAACAAAGCACTTCCAATTTACTTAAAGTTTAAAAAAGGCACAACACCCATATTTGAAAATATGCCAGAATGCTGATTTATTAAAACTGGTGATGGTATTTGAACAGGTTTCCGTGACAACTTCCTCATACCCTTCTGTTTGCTTGAAAATTGCGTAACAAAGAGTACTTTGAAATAACCAAAAATCCCCACACAACTCATAGAGATTTTATATTCTCCTGATACATAGATTTATGTGTTTGAATATAAAACAGAAAGATTGCTGTTCCCACAAAAGACCCCGTAGATAAATCTAACAGAAAAGTGATGCGGTAGACGATAGTTGCCCCTTATAAGACTGGCAAGCACTTGAGAGCAACTGTTTATAATTGTTCGTCCCAGGAGGATGAGCCATCTTTGTCCCATGGTTCTGTGTGGCCCGTGCCCCTTGGGTTGTCCCATGCCCAGAATGCGAAGCGGACCTCTGCAGGCCCCCCCACGTCCCCCTAGGAGAGGCTGTGGTCAGGGCCTGAAACCCACTGGCCTGGCCACGTTGGGTGGTCTTGCTTTCCAGGAGGCCCCACCCGCTGCCCCCATTTATCAGGGGAAGATGTGTGTGGGGTGCAGCAGAGGCTGCGAACGGCAGCCCCTACAAGTGGTCCTCGCCTTCTGCTCCTGTAGCCACGCCTTTTCCTCTTGAGGAAGAAGGCACATTGAACACGCTGCTGCAAGCTGAGTTTTGGTAAACTGAGCCTCAGAGTCATTGAATGTCAGAGCTAGAAGGATCTGTGGCAACCTTGTCACCCAGCTCTGTGTTTAGCAGATGCCTCAATCCAGTTCCCTGGATCCTATTACCAAGATATTAAGTAAATGGACCCGCCCTGAGTCCCAAGGGCTGGTGGATCACTGAGGGGAGTTTGCCAGGGTGATACACAAAATATTTAAGGAGCAGGCTCAGACCAGCCAGAGTGGATGCAGGCAGGACTGCCGGAATGGGGTTAGCCAATGAGAGGGTAGAAGGGTTGCTGGGGTTCTAACGTCAGGGCAGTGGCCTCCTACCACCCAAGACAGGAGTGTTTGACCCCTGGTGTGCTGTCCCGATGAGGCCATGTAGAGGCGCTCCCTGCTTGTCCCTCTGGTCAAGTGGGGACTTAGCACCTTTCTCTGTATCCTGGGCATTGGCTGGATTGGAGCTCACTGCCTGCTTCTTCTGTCTCTCCATCTGCTCTCCGCGGGCCCCTGTGGCCTGGCCTGGCCCCGGCCATCTCATGGCAGTGCTCTGCCACCTGCGGAGAGGGCGTCCAGCAGCGGCAGGTGGTGTGCCGGACCAATGCCAACAGTCTCGGGCAGTGCGAGGGGGACAAGCCGGACACCATCCAGGTCTGCAGCCTGCCTGCCTGCAGAGGTGAGCCAGATACCTTGCGAGGAGGGGGCAGAAGCCGGGCAGGCCCAGGCCCTGTGGCCTTGATCCGAGGCCTAGCCCAGCCTGCGTGCTGGCCTCTGAGAAATAGCAAATATTAAAGCTGCTGGTTCTGTTCACAGGCAGTCTCCAGAACTCCACAATGGGGGCTGACGTCCGGGAACTTGTGACCCCAGAGGGCCAGTGGATGCCACAGTCTGGGCCGCTACATCCTGTTAACAAGATACCATCAAGTAAGTGTGTCTCCGGGCCCCACAGCCCCTCCAGCTTCCCAGCGGTCAGTGTCACACACACGGGGCATGCAGTGGGGCAGACCCAGCTTCCAGTTTGTCCGTGTGTCCTTAGCCCCTCAAAGCCTAAGATTCCTCAGCTGTGAGGTGGGGATAATGCTAGTAGTTGTCCATGGTCTCTTACCTGCAATTCTAAAGTGCTAAAAGCTGCAAAAGGGTACCTCAATTTGGTGCAGACTCATTTGGCAGCAAAATCTGACTTGAACTAACAGATCAGTTATCCTGCTATAAAAACATTACCATATTTGGTTAGAAGGTGATATCCCAATCTCCACTGGGGATATTATATAATATGAATACAGTGAGTATTACTTTTCTAACCTCAAAAGTTTTGAATTATGAATCATATCTGGTTCCAAGATTTTTGGATAAGCAATTGTAGATCTGAGCTGCCTTCACAGGGCTGTTGAGAGAATTAAATGAGATAATGCAGGCACTCCTCTCCAGCTATTGGCTAACAACAACCAAAATAGTAGTTTCTCTCTGCTTCATGATCAGTTCTTTCCACACGTCCATCTACTCACCCTCCCGCCCATGTATCTATCCATCCACCACCCACCTATCCATTCACCCACCCATCTATCCATCCACCCATCCATCAATAAATACTGACTAAGCACCTGCTATGTACCAGATCAATGTTCTATGTGCCCTTCCTAGGTTCCTCCTCTCTTTGTCTTCCTTGCCCTCCCAAGCATCAGGGTCTGAGAAGATGAATAGCAGAAAGATCACAGACCCTAACCCCTAGCTAGAAGACCAATTGGCTGTGTGACTTTGTGCAAATCCCCGAACGTTGCTCAACAACCTCATCTGTAAAGTAAAATGGTCTGACTAGATGTCCTCAGAGGATTTTCTGGCTCTAGCTTTGCTCTCTTCTCTGCCTCTGTGCCGAGGCTCAGGCTGCGCAGGTTCCTGGGTTTTTTTCCCTTTTCCTCCCAAGAGCAAAGGGTGAGTCTCTGATTCTGGTCCTAGAATTCTGGCGCCATCTAGAGGCCACAAAGCCCCTTCCTTCACGTTCTGTTAGCACAGGAAAATCAAAAACATTTTAAAATATTTTAACCAAAGCAAACAAAAGTAGTATAGTGAGCACCCCTCTAGGCCAGGAACTTTATAACTGTTATTTGTAACATTATTATTCATTGGTAAATGTCAGCATTATCCCCATTTTACAGATGAGGAAACTGGGTCAGAGACATGGATTGCCCAAGGCTTCACAGCTTTTAAGTGGTGGAGCCTTGATTGGAATCTAGATCTGCTTGATTCCAAATTTATTGGTGGACAGCTTAGTGTTCCAAATGTGCTGTCTGTGGCAGGTTCTTTGAGCAGCTTGTCATAAGTGTGACTTAGCTTGGCATTCGCCTGGTCCTGGCTGGAGTGGATCAGACTCCTTTGGGTTGACTGGGAGGAGGATAGGGTTCCTACTTCCATCTAGAACAGGGTTCCCAAGCTCTGCTGCAGGTGAGAATCGCCCAGTGCCCAGGCCACATCCAGACTGCCCAGCCTCCCGGGCGTGGGAGCTGGGCAGTGGCTGTTTGTGAAGCTCCCCAGGTGATTCCAGTTGGCAGCCAAGCCTGACAACTAATGACCTAGAGCTGTGGCTCCGAGTTCCCCATGCATCACTGTGAAGGTCCTATTAAAACACAGAACTGGGCCCCAGCCCCAGAGTTTCTGATTCGGGAGGTCTGGATGAGGCCTGAGACTTAGCATTTCCAACAAGCTTCGAGGTGATGCTGATGCTGCAGGTGTGGGGGCCCCACCTTAATAACCAGTGCTCTCGGGGGTATAGTCCCTCCACTGCACAGTAAGGGCTGTTACTCAGTCCTATCTCTCCTGTCAGGCAGCCTCATGTCTCCATCGGGGAGAAAGCTTTATAGTGAGTCCAGCCAGAGGAGGAGGAGAAGGGCTTGCAGCTGGTGGGCTGAGTGGGAGGTCGGGGGCTGTGTCCTGGTGTCGCCCACTAATGAATATCCTCCTGGCGTTGGTCCTTGTGCTGTGTGTGCAGCAGAGCCCTGCGTGGAGGACAGGTCCATTCTCTGTCAGATGGAAATGCAGGACCGCTACTGCGCCATCCCTGGCTACCACCGGCTGTGCTGTAAGTCCTGTACCAAGAAAGCCTCGGGCCCCGACGCCAGCCCTGGCCCCAGCCTGGCTGCACCACCGCCCTCCTCCACTCGGGGGAGCCCGTCCCCAGAAGCCACAGCCCCTCCAGATGCTGTGGAGCCCACTGTGGGGCCAACGGACTCAGACAACCATCTGCATGGTCGACCTACGCAGCTCCCGGGACCCCTAGGCACAAGCTCCCCAGTGACCCAGCGCCGCTTAACTCCCCAGAAACTGAGCCCTGGAACATTCCGGGGTACTTCCCCTAGCGCCACCCAGTGGCTGCCTTGGGGCTGGACCACTGGCCCACCTCTGCCAGCCTCTGAGGATAAAGGGCAGCTCAGGGAAGACCTGAAACATCCTGGCACCAGCCTCCCTGACACCTCCCCTGTGACATGAACCCTGCCCAGCCCATCCCGCCAGTCAAGTTTACACTCTGTGGGCTCGAGACCCCCGGCTCAGGGGACACACAGCGGGCCAGGGGCAAGCACAGGCTTCCTTTTAAATTATTTGCCTTCTTGTTCTAGCTTTGGTCTGTGATACTTTTCACCCATGAAGTGGGTGTGCAAGGAAGAAAAAAATCAGGGAAAGCCCTAACCTGAGATACCTCAGCAGGCAGCCCAGGTGACTGAGTTGAACCTCTCAGGTGCTCCCGTCTGTCTCCCCTGCCAGGACCGAGGGCCTGCGAATGCCCTGTCCTTACAGCCCCTGGTGCCCGCCTTTGCCAGATTTGTGGGGCCCCTGTGGAGGCCCTATCTACCTGGCCAGAGAGGCAAATCAGAGCCAGGCGAGGGTTGTCCACAGGGCAGTCAGCGAGCAAGGGAGCCGGGGGTGAGTGTGGCCGTGAGGCCTCGGCTGCAGGGCCGGGGCAGATGGGAGGCGCGTTCAGCTCAGGCCCAGCTTTCTGCAGCTGGGGCTCCGTGCAGCTCTTCCAGCCAAGGCCGAGGCGCGGAGTCCGCCTTGCCTCCGCTGGCTGCAGGGCAGTGTTGGTGGCCACCTCTGCCACAGCGGGCAGCACTTTCTATTACTGCTGGGGCCTCCCAGCCTCACCCAGCTCACCTGAGAATGGGGCTCTGAACACTCTAGGACGTGTCTTCCCCATCCAGAGGTTTCCCAACTGGTGCTCGAGCTCTGGCTAGACCAGAAATGGCAACTTTGTCATCTGGCCAGGGCATGAGGCGGGGACGGCCTGGAAGGGCACTTTGTGGGACGCAGAGGAAGACATGGGTTCTCAGGCTGTGTCCTTTCAATCATTGCCCTTTTGCCAAAGACCACTCCTACTGGAGTTAGGGGTCAGCTTCCCCCAGCTGGCTCCGGCTGGGCCAGAGGTCTGTGGTGCTGATGGGGTGCGGGGTTCAGCCCCCACGGCTGAGGACCAGAGTCCACTCATAGCTGGGCCCTGGGGGTGACAGGGGCCCCCCAGGGCAGGATATGAGCCTCTGCCCCTTGCTGGGGTGGGGAGTAGACATGGACCCTCAGTGCTCTGGTGCTTCAGCTGCCCCTTTCCCCCTACCTCCAAGGGCAGGTAACTTCCCTAGACCCTCTGGCTCTCTGGAAGCCACCTGCGTACCCAAGGGGCCCTTGCTCTGACTCGTGCAGAGAGTCTCTCAGACTCCAGCAGGTGATATAGGTGCTTGCTAGTTCTTCCTTCCCGAGGGTGAGGGGCTGTTCTGAGCCAGGCTAGAGGCATAGGAACAGTGGGTTGGCCCGTAAGAGCCTGGAGAAGAGAGCCCTGGAGAGGCTCCCGGGTGCCCTCGCCACCTGCTGCCTGCCCCTCCCCCTGCCCCGATGCTGGGGCGCACACTGAATCATTCCTGAGGCCCAGCCTGCCTGTGTTAAGGGCTGTAAACTCTGCGGTTGAAATCCAGATCTTTAAATTTTTATGTATTTATTAACATTGTCCATGGTGTTTTGTTTTGGACCCCAAAATGTTGTGTTGTGGTTTTTTTCCTCTCTGTTCTAGAGGACGGGGACAACAAAGGCAGAGCTCCCATGGGCGGGGTGGGGCTGTAGCAAGATGATGGGGTGGGAGCTGGGCAGAGAGAGGCTGGGGACACGGGAAGGCTTGGCCCACAGCCTCCCTGCCTTGGTCTCACTGGCTCTGGGGCTCCTCTGAGCATCCGCTCAGGGTGCAGAGGTGAGGACAGGGCTGGGGGCCCCACTCGGGCTTCGCCACTGAGTAGCTGTGTGGCCTTGGGCAAGTCGCCATCCAGAATTCGATCCAAAGGGTAGAAGTGCCTGGGAGATAGTTTCGGGGTCTGCGTAGTGAAGAACATTCTAGTTAGCCAGACTGTTCAAACGTACAAGGTGGCGAGTCCTCTTTCCCTGAAAAAGTCTGAATGGAACGTGGATGCTGGCCTGGTGGTGGGAGGATTGTGATGCATCTTATCGGGAAGGGAGGGCTGACGTGAAACATGTGCTGGACATTTTAAAAGCACCGATCCACACCTAACCCTCTGCTGTGTCAGACATTGTTAATCCGTCACTGAGTGTGTGGATTGGTGTGTCACAAGTCCCTCCCTAATACTGTGGGGCCCAGGACAGGAGCACAGAGAATGCCTCCAGGGACCTCACATGCCTGTGGGGGCATCGTAGCCTGCAAGTTCAAGTTCCATTTACATCTCTCTGCGAACCACCGTCCCTTGGGAACTACCCCTTGTAAAAAGCTACCACCTGAGCCTAGAGGTGCACACACGGTAACCCAGTCACACCTTAGGGGGACTGACCTAGGGAGATGCTAGCACAGGCCCTAGAATTGCATCCTGGATTGTTCAGGCCTGGATTCTGTGGGCCCAGGTACCCAGAAGGCAGCTCACAAAGAGATGCACGGGGGGATTGCAGGTCCCAGGTGGTGCCGTGCAGCCCCTGCCATGGTTTGCAGCCCTAAGAGTACCCCTCAAAGCGGTTTTGATACATTGCCTGAGGCAGGACTAACACATGGAAACAGGAGCTTATGGTTCCCTCCCCCACGGCCCCACAGCAGAATAAGAAACAGTATTTCCATCCTGAGACCTGTGAAGCTACATCTTCATTTATTTTATTTTAGTCTACATCTTCATTTATTTTATTTTAGTCCTCACCCAAGGATATGGTTATTGATGAGAGAGAGAGAGAGAGAGATAGAGAGAAGAGAGAAGAGAGAAGAGAGAAGAGAGGTCGCTGACCTGGGATCTAACCGGAAACCTAGGCATGTGCCCTGACTGGGAATCAAACCTGCAGACTTTCAGTGTACAGGACGCTGCTCCAACCAACTGAGCTGCCCAGCCAGGCTACATCTTCATTTTTAATGGCACATAGTACCCATTTTATAGCTAAATGACCATTTATTTAACCAAAATCCCTGTTACTATACATTTAGATTGTTTCTAAATTTTGGTATCATAAACAATGATGTGAGGTAAAACTTTTCATTTTTACCTGATTTTTCTTAAGAGAGCTTTCCAGAAGTGAAATGGAGTGGGAAAGGTGCCAAAACCACATTTTACAGACATTGTAAAACTTCATATATATTCCCCAATTGCCTCCAGAAAAGTTGTTCAGACTTTAGTCTCTGCAATGGGGTAATGGTACTGTAAGCCAAATCTTAAAAATGGTGGTTTTCATCATCTCTCAAAACACTCACAGAAGAAGTCTTGGGCATCCCAAAAGACAACAGGTATTAGCAGAACTTTTTGATTTTGTGGTCTGCATGGCAAGAATTGGCATTCATAGTGGAGTCCCCAGGAGCCTAGGATATGTGAGAGGCCTTCTGAATCATCCCAGCTGATCATCTCGTTAAGTAGTCAGCAGGGTGCAGGGGCAGAACCTTGTTTCTGGAGACAGAAGATCCAGGCTCTAGCCCAATTCTTTATGTCTTCATGTCTGACTATCAGTGCTTCACCTGACCTATCACCTGCAAGATGGGGAAATATAAATACTCCAAAGCTCAAACAGAATTTACCAATGGTCTGGGTTTTGTCCCCTAGCTGCATGCCACCTCTGGTCTGCTGAGCTGGACCAAGGCGGGCTGGCCTGGACCTCCCAGAGCCACCAGCACAAACATCTGCTTGGAGCCCCTCGACCCCAACTCCTCCCCCTTTCTCTTCATGTCTGCGATGTGCAGCTCCTGGTCAGGTTACTTAAAGGGCCAGGGCCCTGCAAGGAGAGCCCTCTGTTTACTCTGGCTACCCTGGTTTGGAGGGGCCCTGCTAGCAGCTCTAGAAAGAGAGGCCGGAAGAGGGCCTTGGCCTGGAAGCCGGGGACCTGGGTTCTGGCTGTGTGACTGAGGGGGGTCATGTCTAGCTCTGTGCCTCAGTTTCTTTTTGATCTCTCTGTGATATGTGAGGAAACAGTATGCTATGCTGATTACCTGCCTGGTTGCCCCTTACCAGCTGTGTTCCTTAACCTCTCTTTGCCTCTGTTTATTCACCTAAACAAAAAAATGGTGATACTAGTGATATTTAATCTTGTTATAAGAACTAAATGGGATAGTATGTATTAAATGCTAAGCATAGTGCCAGGGACATCAAAAACATTTAACAGCCCTGGCTGGGTGGCTTGATTGGAACAATGTCCCCCTACACCAAAAGGGTTTGATCCCTGGTTGGTGTGCATGCAGGAGGCGACTGATCAGTGTTTCTCTCTCACAGCAATATTTCCCTCTCTCTCTCTCTCTCTAAAATCAATAAACATATCCTTGGGTGAGAATTTTAAAAAAATTTTTAAAGCTTTTAACAAATGTTAGTGATTTTTATTACAGAGATTCCCCACTTAATTGTATCGTTTGAACATAGACTCACAGGTTGTCCAAGTAAGAAGAATTGGCCTAGGAGAGCTGATGGGAGACTGGAGGCCCAAAGAGAGCGGGGACTTCCTGCGCCCGAGACAGACAGCTCGCTGGGGGCAGGGCCAAGTGCCACATGGCTGTTCCCTGGCAGGGTTTGGGGAGAGACCCTGGGATGTGCACACCGATCGCTGGCCCTTCATCTGAGCGCTGTCTGTGGCTGGGACTGGACGACTGCCCACCGTCCTGCGTGGGCAGCCATGTTTGGGACCCACCCTATCCTAGAAGAAGTAGACAGATCTGGGAGAGCTGCTAATAAGCACTAGTTTTCCCCTTTTTCGCTGGCAGGAAAGAAACGCTTAAGCAATCATTACCCTGGGTTAGTTATCTCTGATGGCAAACAAAAACTGAGCTGAATGGAAAAAACAGAGCTGGGTTGCAACAATTTAATACCAGCTCTTAAAAGCTAAACAGCCAAAGACCGCAGAGGACAAGCCTGTGGTTCAACAAAATCAAATTTATTGACTTGGTGCGGAGAGGAGGCACGAGTGCCACTGGGCAAGAGGGAGGAGGGGCGTCTCCTAAGGTTCAGGTTTCCATTGAAGGGGTCAGTTCTGGACTGCTGACTCTCTGAGGC